TAACCTTACAAGCAGCCAAAAAGACGATCTTTTCTCTAAACCCTTGGGTAACCCTTCTTTCACTTCCTTGAATTTTCTCCCTCTTTCTGGCTATAGCAGAAGTCTCATTCCCATTGAGGCTCAGCTCTCAACAGAATGTAAAATTCAGACAGGGTAACTGCTCTAGAGAGCTCGCCTGTGACTACTGAGCACTCAAAATACAACTATAGTGACAGAGAAGGCAGATTCTAATTAATTTAAACTTTAATTTGAAAACTCACAGCAGATTTAGTCATTAGAGAACTTCGGAATAGGTTTGGAATAACTTGGTTGTGTGAATCTACTAAACTACTACTACTACTTGGTTATGTGAATCTACTAATCTTTTAAACTGTAAACTTTATGAAATCTAAATACAGATCAAGTATTTCTTTTCTTTTTCATTTGATATAAATGCTTTCTCAGATAACAGATAAAGTATTTCCAATGAAAATTTAGTTTCCAAACTGAGACATGCTGTAAGTATTAAATACACACCAGATTTCAAAGACTTAGCACAAAATCTAAATGTCTCATTAATAATTTTTATATTGATTACATGCTGAAATGATAGTTTGGTTATATCGGGTTAAAGGAAATATATTATTAAAATTAATCTCACATGGTTTACACTTTTTAATGTATTTCTTAGAATATTTTAAATAATATGAGACTCACATTATTTCTACCAGACAGCACTGGTCTACAGCATGGGCCATGGTGACAGAGACTCAGCTCCCTTTATTTGCTGGATGTATGACCTTTAGCCATTGACTTAGCATCTTTAAACCTCTGCTTACTCACCTGTAAACTGAGAAAAATATTGCTATCTTTTCAATAGGCCTATGTGCATGTAACATGAGACAGTGAACAAAAAGCTTACCACAGTGCCTGCCCCATAGTAAAATATTCTGTAAATATTCACCCTCATTATTGTTGTTGTTATCACTATTCACTAATAACATCCAGACGTTTGACAAAGACTGCATCAAAATAAGTATGTGTTGACTATGGGTTAACTCTGGTATCTCATGACCAGATAAAGTAATTTCATTTTCCAAAGTAAAAAAAAGGTACTTGAAGTCAGATATAGGTTTTTCTCATATTTGTGAATTTCTTAACATCTAAAATCTCACCTTTTTAAATTGATGAAATGCTTTTATTGAAAACAATGAAGCCAGGAGCAGTGGCTCACGCCTGTAATGAAATGCTTTTATTGAAAACAATGAAGCCAGGAGCAGTGGCTCACGCCTGTAGCTCTCTTGGAGGCCAAGGCGGGAGGATCACTCAAGGTCAGGAGTTCGAAACCAACCTGAGCAAGAGCAAGACCTTGTCTCTACTAAAAAAATAGAAAGAAATTAACTGGTCAACTAAAAATATAGAGAAAAAATTAGCCAGGCATGGTGGTGCACGCCTGTAGTCCCAGCTACTTGGGAGGCTGAGGCAGGAGGATTGCTTGAGCCCAGGAGTCTAAGGTTGCTGTGAGCTAGGCTGACGCCACGGCACTCTAGCCTGGGCAACAGAGTGAGACTCTGTCTCAAAAAAAATTAAAATAAAAAAATAAAACAATGAAATTACTTAAAACCCAGACTTTCCTGGAAAATTCAGGGCATGAGGTTCATCGATAAGAAACAGTGGTGCTCGATAAGAAACAGTGGTGCTCGATATCTCAAAGAACCCAAACTCAACAATCCTCCACTTAGATTCAAGTTTGAAGGCTAAAGTTTCATTTACACCCATGTTTTTTCTGGCCAGAGATTTCTGGCCAGGAGACTTCTAAATAAATAGTCTGGATATACATTAGGAGCTTCTACTTTGAGAAAGATGGAGAAGTACCTTTTTCTATTCATTTTACCTAATACAACTAAAAAACATAGACCTTATATATAAAAGAAAAAGAAGAATGCAGACTACTAGGGATCTCAAGACCCAAGGAGTGACATGGCAGTGAATTTCCTGTGCTTTCTCATTGCCTCATATATCATAAACTTGGAGCTGGAGAAGGTGGACACACAGAATGCCAACGGATACATAGGAAGTCCCATAAAAACCCTCATCTCTCTAGCACAGGCCAGGAAAAGGAAATTCTATCCAAATAGTAAGACAGAAATCTTTTAGGATAACAACTCTATTCCAGTCAAACACCATAGAAAATTTTGAATCTATCTCTCTCATGCCAGCAAAAATCAAGTAGGGAGTCTGGACTTCCACCTCTGGTAATGGAGTGTCCCACGCCGTCCCACTGGGGTGGTGGCAGAGGAGGTCTAGTGGACACACAAGACTTTTCCCACTGCCAAGAAGCAACAAGCCCACTCCAACCCTTTTGCTATCAGTAGAACCAACCTGGGGAGCCAGAATTCCCATCCACACCCAGCACTTATGAGAA